GTAGTCTGGATGAGAAACTTTGAAGGGTTCTCCGATCTTCCCGTGAGTAAAATCCAATGGGATTTGTCGTTTGTTTATGTTGTATAGACACCTTTTATAGGGATTCAGGTGAAGTATTTCTATGAATTGGTGGGCATCAAGATTGGTGTGCCAGTTTCCTCTAACGTCAGTTATACGCCAAAACCGGTGTCAAAGCATCGCCCATTAAACCAGTGTTGTATGAAATTGGTAAAGCATTCGGTTTATTGTTGGATATATTTGCGATAACACTTGCTGTAACATTATCTGACCGCACACCTGTCTACCAGTCATCGTTCCCACACGCATTTTTTTTACCAATAGCGTAGCTACCTGAATTACGATCGACTGAGGCTTACAGCAGAAGTTGCACAACCAAGAAGAAGTTAGTTTAATGCAACACTTATAAATGTCTAATGCTAATCCGACGCAAACATTGTGAAACCAACCTCTATGTGGATTACATTCCAGACCGTCATCAACCAGGAATTGGTTGTTTGATCGACCGCAAATATGGTTTTGCTAACCATTTTATCCATCAGTGATAAGAAGTTCAAACTGGAACTCGTACCAACGTTTGGCCTTGGCAGATAAAATCCACGAAATACACACAACAACAAAAGCATTTGGCAATGGTGACACGCGAAAATAGTTGAAAAACAGTACATCAACTGAAAATATTCGGTCAAAGGTAAACAGGAAGAACTTGCACAATAGATAGCTCTCGTGCCCCACTGAGGCTGCTTGATAACACTTTTGCATCTGAGGCGGTGGACACTGGGTTTGAGTCCCGATGGGGAACAAAATCACTTGCCAGGGTGCCGGTATATGCGGCTGACGGGTTCAAAATAGGACGAAACGCATGTCCTCGACTCGACTGCTAGTCACCAAGATGAACATAACACAAGAACTTTAGTTGGGATAACCTTTCTCAAGACGAAAGGCTCTTACAAAGAAAATAAACTCAAGACTCAGAAAGTTATAAAAGCCCAAACTTTGATTTTATCGCTTCTAGTGAGTTAATCAGATAACTTTTGATGTGGTCCATACTAGAGGAACCAAGTTTTTCAGATAAGTGAAAAAAGTCACTTCCTCCTTCTAAAGTACATGGAATTCATCAGAACTGGATATATACACCTGCATAAGAAAAACCATAGGGACACCTCAGGGAGGCGAAAATATCAACAGTTCTCATCACGTGTTGGTAGTGACTGTGATGGAAACTACTCTATGTCCGTTAAAAGTCTTATCCAATAAAAAAACAATCAAACTTCTTTTATTTTAAATTTGAGAGGGAGCTGGCTAACTTCATGTTGGTACTTATCATCAGCTGAAGTCAGTTGGAGAACCAATGAAAGCTTGGGAGCACTGTACAGCTGTTTCTTCCCAGTTTGATACTCCTCACTAGTGCGAACCTACTACCCTACCATGGATCGATCCCAGAGTTGTGGAGTCTCTTAGCCAGCATGTTGCCGTTCAGTCATTAGGTTGGAGAAAGAAAGTGCATAGATGCACATATTATGAGAAAGTAACAACCTTTCGAAAAATGAAAATATGCCAACAGCTATTCCACCAAAATTCAAATGCCTATGGCAAATATGTTTCTGCAAGGATTTGTGCTACTTATAAGTAGACTATTAAAGTAACTGTAATTTAGTGATGTTCAACTGAAAAAAAATGAATCTTCTCATTCATTTCCAGTCACCTGGATGACTTAGATGAGCACCTCGGAGTGGACAGTTAAATTGTTCCTTTTCCTACACCACACCTCACCATCCTTGTACATCATTTATATAGGTTTACTTCTGCCTTTATATGCTTCTACTTAGTCCATATGACTACTGGGATTTAGATGTAAAGTCAGAGTGGCAGCTGCAATCTTCAAGCAGCAAACTGTTAAGCCACCATTTTCATATTTCCCAAATGGAGCCTTATACATGATTATATGTCCCTCAGTGTTTCTAAGGAAACATTAGTTTTATGTGGATTTGTGTAAGGGAAAAGATATTGGGGAATCTCGTCTCCGTAATAAGTAATATATGTATATACAGAATAGTGTACACATGTGTTCAAAATAATCTTTACCATAAGAACAGTTATGACGAAGTATAATTTGATGAAACTGAGGAATTTATGAGTGTCCTGTCTCCATGGCTACCTTGCAAAACTATCAATACGATTCTATCAGCACTCAGGCTCCGACGATATGAAATTGGTTACTCTTACTTCACCGATCAAAGTAACTGATCTAGTCCTGCAAAAGGTCAGAAACGGTTCTAGTGGTTTAATGGTACGTTCTTCTATTGCAGCGATGAGTGGCTTAAGTTCAGCCACTAAGGCGAACAACAGCTCCAATGAGGTTACACATACGTCTTCCTGACGAGTACAAACAAGCCTGAAATCTATACTCCAGACTTCCTGCCGACTGTCTTACACCGACTGATATAGTTTAGATTCACAAGTTCTGATTCCAGAAAGCTACCATCTGAGAGGAATATTATTTACTGATCCAGCTTCTTAATATATTCAGAGGAATTCGAACTCAAAAAGGACAATATCTGCTTCGTAGTCCCCAGTGGTTTATCAGTCTTGCACCCCATCAGAAGGCAATTCTCACGTCATACACTTCATGACTCTTTTGATTTTGTCAGTTTTATTGATAACGTAAATTGCTCTGACAAAATTGTATTTCCTTTAGATGTGCCCTTATGATTTACAAGCATCCCACTAACCGAGACAATATATTATAGATGTGACCATCTTGATTCTAACGGATGGAACGTTGTGATACCCACAGATTATCTGAAGGAGGTGTTGTTGAGGTGCACCTTGAGCTTCCAGTTTTCCTTCAATAGTGAAATATACTAACGAAAAGATGGCATACTTATGGATTCATCAGTGGGTTAAAACTATGAAACTGCTGCCATATGGTTCAGAAACTTGGCGTGTCACGAAAAGCATTGCCAACAAACTACACACACTCATCAACAAATGCCACCTACGCTGGCTCCTTACTGAAGATCAAATGACCAGAATAATGAGAATAAACAACAAGGAACTCTGACTGACTGGCAAGGAACCAATGAAGAGGCTCTCGCTGAACAAATATGCACTGGAAGGAAGTGGAGATGGATTGGATTGGGCATACACTGAGAAGGGTGATTGGGGACATCACGCGCCAGGCCAGTCACTCGAGCGAAACCCAGATGGGAAATGACGGGTTGGACATCTGAGGGTGACGTGGAGGAGATCATGTGAGGAAGAAATGAAGGCTTATGGGCAGTCGTGGCGACAGGTTAAAAAAACTTGAAAGAAGAGAGCTCATTGTAGATGTGCTACAGAGGCGGTATGTTCCACTAGGAACCCAAGAGAAAAACAATAATAATAATAAAGGATAAGCCACCTTCGCTATCTCGATGTGTGTTTATCAATTCAGCTGATCCTGTGGAGTAATGTATACTGGCTGTACTGAGCGTTTTCTTTCCAAACACTTTTTCGAACATATACCAGCCTGGTTCCACAAAGGAAAAAGAACACTTCATATCTCTATTTTAGAACATTTCATCCATAATAACTACCCGGCAAATGCAGAAAACAGCTACAGTGTCATCTACAGAGTTTGTGCCAGCATAGTGAAAGATGCACTCCTGAAACTTCTTTAAAGTGTGGAAAGCATGGCAATTAATATTTTAAAGCCTAAACTCTATGTTCAAAAGAAATTTGTCGAGTCACTTGAGTTATAATGGACATTACCTGTAAGAACATTTTTACCTTTAAAAAATCTTTTAGTTCAGATCTCATACATTATATTCCTCCACTCTTATGATTTCGACTTCACTTCTATTATTATTATTTGTCCCTTGGGTTCCTAGTGGAACATACCGCCTCTGTAGCACATCTACAATGAGCTCTACTCTCTGAAATCTTTTGAACCTGGCTCCACAACAGCCCACAAGCTCTCATCTCTTCCTCACAAGATCTCCTCCACGTCACCCCTACCTATGACACCCAACTCATCGTTTCCCATCTGGGTTCCGCTCGAGTGACTGGCCTGGCGCGTGATGTCCCCAATCACCCTTCTCAGTGTATGCCCAATCCAATCCATCTCCACTTCCTTCCAGTGCATATTTGTTCAGCGAGAGCCTCTTCATTGGTTCCTTGCCAGTCAGTCAGAGTTCCTTGTTGTTTATTCTCATTATTCTGGTCATTTGATCTTCAGTAAGGAGCCAGCGTAGGTGGCATTTGTTGATGAGTGTGTGTAGTTTGTTGGCAATGCTTTTTGTAACGCGCCAAGTCTCTGAGCCATACATAAGCACTGACTGACTTCACTTTATATGCTTCATATTACATCGTCTAACTTATTAACAGAATATTGCTTCGGTCTTGATAAGTCTTCTTCTCAATACTATTTCAAACATCACGTAATTCTTTTTTCCGATTTCTTGATTTACAATCAAATCTGAACTTCATTCAGAAAATATATCATGAAAAGTTTCTTTTACTGTTACTATGTGAATAGAATATTTTAATACTAATGTACAGTTTAAGAATGATATCGTTGAAAAGAATGATTCTTTGTTAAACATCTTTAGTTAATAATAATTATTGACTGATAGCATTAAAAGTTACTGTTAAATGATGAAACATGTAATAAGTAGTATATGGTAAATTAGAGTAGAAAAATATTGTGTTTCTTACACTGGAAACGAATAATCGCGTTTATATTGTTGATGGTGAAATGCAAATTCACTAGTTAACAAGATATGATAAGATCTACAAAGGAGAAAATATCTCAAAAACACTCCGAAAAACACATTTTAAAGAAATATCCATAAGAGATTTGAATTATCGCTTTTAGAAAATCGTACAAAACAAGTGGACGTAATTATTGTCTTTCATAAGATCTTGATAATAGTGAAATGATAGGGTAAACAAAGAAAATTTAGGGAATAAACATTCAATACCATAACTACTTAATACAATCAACTACCTGAATATTGTGTTGATGTTCCTGATATTCTGTTAAGCTGACTTGCAGACATTTTCATGATAACGTGACGAAACTTATTGATACGTGCAAAATATAAGAAGATATTTAATGATGACTGAGTAAAAATTAAAATCCATCCTATGTTGAGAATGATACGCAGTAGACGAACAAATCCCACTGGGAGGTCATTACTCGTCGGATCTAATGAAATTGTGAGTAATAGACCGATTCCACAGGGTAAAGCAGATAAAAATGAAAATATTTGAAGAACAAGCAGTGTAACTGTTGAGGAAATTTGTTTATTCTCTGAAGGATTCATTCTTGATACATGATGACTATTTTGTGACCACTTCACCAACTTCATTAGAAAGAATGCATCAAGTAAGGCAGCAAGTGACAGTTGTACTACACATGTGTTGGTAAACAAAACTTGATAAGCGACAATTATATCATCGAAAAGTATAAACCAACACATAGATAACTGGTATACCAATGTCATGTCAATAAAGAGTCCCACAGGTAAAGCCGTTAGAAATGTTATAATGAGGACCGCAATCATAAGAATTCGTGTAGAAAATTTAGTTAATTTTTTGTAGACTAGCGGTTTATATATTAAAATAAAACGGTCAATTGCCATTACCAAAAGAACATTACCTCTAAGACTGGTGGTAAACGCTTGAAGAAATGTGACAGACTTGCAGCTTATACTTGACCTTGTCAAAATGAAATAATATATAGTTCCTAAAGATGCATATGGTAGACCATAAGTCGGAAACAACCGTAACCAACCAACAATAATGCAGATTCCAATATCTGACAGAGCAAGTGTACCAAGGAACATAAATTGTCTGTTATGCTGAGGAACTGAGTAGAGAAATATGATGGCCACAATGGAATTAGTAATTAAACTCAATGTTCCAACGAATGGGAATACATAAGCCAATAAACTCCCAAGAGCTTTTGATGCCTCACAAAGCATTTTACTAGCATTCGGATGTTTCTTCTCGACCATCATGCAATCGATTAATGTCTCCCAAGGGTTAAAAAAATCTGTAGAATTATGCACTATACTCATGATGATGAATTGCTTATGAGTAATTTACTGACTAGATTGTATTTATAAACACTTTCTTGAAGAGATAGCTAATAATGCACAGACATGATATATAGGTAAGTAAATAATCCCGGTCATTGGTTATTACAGGTGACGCCCCGATAATGTGTTGATGTAATGAGTTCAATTTGTAGAAATTTCATCCTATTAAGTTATGTGCCATAAATGTAGGTAGTGACCTTATTATCCTTCAGTGTAATATATGAAAATATGTATCGTTAATTTATTAATAATCCACCCAAAAATTTTATAAACTGTTCTACACAGTATTATTTATTGCATGAAGTAAAACATACAGGTGGCTAGGAAAGGTCACCTTTTGTACTTGTAGACTTTTTATTCAGTTGTATATGAGGAAATCACTTTATATTAAAGAATTGTTAACAATAAGAATCCAACATTAATGATAGAAGTATAAAACTGACTTACTGTTGTATTGTCAATCTTCATTATATTAGTTTATTTTACTTAGCATCCCACTATCAATAAAAACAAACGAGGTAAATCAGTAGAACTATAGAAGAAATAAGTCACGAAGTTGTGTAATCAGATTAATATGATAATAAATACATTTTTAAAGGTAGTATTCATTACTGACTGACACCGGTCGGGGAACCATTCAAATCAGGGAGCACTGTACATTTGTTTCATCCTAGCATGGGATTCCTCAGCAATATGTACCCACGATGACGCCAGGGTTTGAACGGAGGATAATGCTTTAAACCATCAAATACTGGGTTGGAGTCCAATAGTCCACAGTTTCCTACTTCTGTCGATTTGCGATAAATTGGGACTATGTACCAAGGTCATCAGATCGCATCCACTTCATTATTTACTGGTTGCTCCCACCGGTCACGGCTAGTGATTAGAACTTCAGGATATCCATCTGGTAGCATATGACAAATGAGCACTACTCAGAAGTGTAGACTGAGGTCTGTGAGAATTTTATTTTTGAGGCAGTATTCATCACGGACTGAAATCAATTAGAGAACCACTGAAGAACTGGGAGCCTTGGAAATATGTTTCGTCTTAACATAGGACTCGTCAAAGTACAATAAATACTTGATACGTCATCCAGCAAACAGTGTTGCATAGTTGTTTGTCTCATGAAAAGGATCTGTGGCTAATTGACCTAAGCTCTCAACTTCCAGTAGAAGGATATGCGGTTCAAACCCGTTCCTTCTATTGCGGTATGACAACGACTTACTATCATTATCTCTCACACAATAGATGTAATTTGCTGTCTAATGTATGAAAGTGCTTATGGTTGCCGAGTATATCTTCTTCTTCACCTTTCCCTCTTAACATGAAAACACTAGTATGATATAGAATCAAACTGAAGAGCAGGGATAAGACGAAAGTAAAATATACCAATGTATATCATCTTTGCTCAATCGTTTTGTGACTTACTGACTTAGACATCTCTTTCTTTATCAACTTCTAAAAACAAAAGAGGTCCTGGCTATTCATCAGCTGAAGCCTGATGTTTTTATGAAAAAGAATTAAACATCTCGAAGGGGTCATGAGGATTTAGAATACTAGCTTGGAAATTAAAAAATTGTCTAATTTCTATGTGGTTTAGGTACAAGGATGGAACTATCGAATTTCGCCCTTCTTGAGTGATTATCAAAGAACGTTGAAGGAGGACAATCAACAGTTGGCACTAGTCACAAGGGTGCATATCTGGTCCCAGTGCATTATTTGACATTTTAGTTAGCCAGACCAATAATCCACAATCTCCGTCCTTAAATACCACTGGTAGTATTCCGTCTGGCCCCACTATTATTCCTCGTTTCCAGTTGTATACAGCTTTCTCGACTTCTGCAAGTGTTGCTGGTTCTATCTTGATGTTTCATCCAGGAACTGACTGAACAGTGGGCAATGGAATAGTAGCTGGAGGTCAGTTGAACTGTTTCTTGAAGTGTTCGGCTCATGGTTTCAGTCGGGAAGCCTTGAATTATTGTAACGACCTCTCTGATTACAGATAGACTTAAGCACAAATTTTGTTGATGACAGTTTCCATTAAACGAAGTTTATCATTTCGCACTATTTGAGAATTCTTAGGGGTTTTTCATGTGACTATAATTCTCACTGACAAATGAAAAACCCCTAAGAATTCTCAAATAGTGCGAAATGATAAACTTCGTTTAATGGAAACTGTCATCAACAAAATTTGTGCTTAAGTCTATCTGTAATCAGAGAGGTCGTTACAATAATTCAAGGCTTCCCGACTGAAACCATGAGCCGAACACTTCAAGAAACAGTTCAACTGACCTCCAGCTACTATTCCATTGCCCACTGTTCAGTCAGTTCCTGGATGAAACATCAAGATAGAACCAGCAACACTTGCAGAAGTCGAGAAAGCTGTATACAACTGGAAACGAGGAATAATAGTGGGGCCAGACGGAATACTACCAGTGGTATTTAAGGACGGAGATTGTGGATTATTGGTCTGGCTAACTAAAATGTCAAATAATGCACTGGGACCAGATATGCACCCTTGTGACTAGTGCCAACTGTTGATTGTCCTCCTTCAACGTTCTTTGATAATCACTCAAGAAGGGCGAAATTCGATAGTTCCATCCTTGTACCTAAACCACATAGAAATTAGACAATTTTTTAATTTCCAAGCTAGTATTCTAAATCCTCATGACCCCTTCGAGATGTTTAATTCTTTTTCATAAAAACATCAGGCTTCAGCTGATGAATAGCCAGGACCTCTTTTGTTTTTAGAAGTTGATAAAGAAAGGTGAAATATTTAAGAGGATTCAGCAAACAACTTTAAAGTACTTGTTATCTTCAACTGAATGATTGAAATCAATCAATTGTTAAATGGTAGAACTTGTAATTAACTTCCTTTTGCCCTTATAAACCAAGCTGGAATACCTTGAAGTGTGGGTAATGAAAGCAATCTTCAGCTACGGCCAAATGTATCTCATTTCACACAAGCAAGTTATTGTTTTAGAAGAAAAGAGTAAAACTTGGACATTATGCGAAACTTGTGATTTCATTGTCATGCAGTGAAACGATATTATTTACTGAATAGCTCATTTCGACACAAATGGTTATCATTGGTTTGACTATGGATGACAAAATGTTCCCGTAACGTCGTCCAGGAAACAGCATTGTTTCATATTGTCTGATAGGTCAGAAGGGAGGGAGAGCAACCGAGACATTCCCATGACCAACATAAAAATGGAATGCAGGTCGAAATACTATGTCTAGCCTAGTCACCCTGGTTACCACCTAAATCTGTGGCACATACTCTTATCTGATTAAATGTCTTCGGTGATAGCGTGAAGCTAAGTCACGTTTATGGGCTACCTCACCAAACACTGTTTATCTTGATGATAAATCAGATAGAGTGCAAAACCTCAGATATTTCCCATTGCTTTTTAAAATCTTAATCTTTGTATATATCACATCTCTCGCACAACCAGCACGTGGTTGTCTTTAAACTGAAGTATTTATAAGCAGAATTTAATGTAAAAATGTAAATACACAAGTATTCACCATGAACGTTAAAGATAATTGGACAGAACTCTACTCTCCGTGGGATACGTTGATCGATTGTATGATGGTGGAGGAAGGACATCCAAATGCCAGTGAACTGCTATGTAGTGCCTCAAATGCTCTTGGAAGTTTATTGGCCTATGTATTCCCAGTTATTGGAACACTAGATTTTATTAACAATTCCATTGTAGTTGTTGCATTCCTCTACTCGTTGAGACGAAATAACAGGCAGTTTTTCTTCTTCGGAATACTTGCATTATCAGATATCGGTATTGTAATCACAACTGGTTGGTTATGGCTGTTTCCAACATTCGGTCTACCGTATGCATCTTCAGGAAGTGTATATTATTTGGTGATGGCGCGGTCAACTGTAAGCTGTAAGCTGTCCACATTTTCTCAATCATTCTGTTACATTCTACGAGGTAATGTTTTACTAATGATGACAATTGATCGTTTTATTTTAATATACAAACCGCTTCTCTACAAGAGACTTCCAGAATATTCTACACGAATGCTTCTAGTTATAGTGGTGACAATAACACTTTTAATGTCATTGCCTATTGTGATATACACTGACATTGTCTTAGCATTTCAACTTTCTGTATGTTGGTATGCAAATCATGGAGAAGTGCTTATACTTTATCAAAGTTTATTCTCTAACACGTGTTTAGTACAATTTTCATTTGTTATGCTTCTTGATGTATTCTTTTTGGTCAAGATGATAAAGTGGTCTCGTAGTCGTAATCAAGCAGCTGGTTTACATTCTTCAGAGATACGAAATATTTCGCCTACAATTACTCTACTACTTCTTCATACTCTCTCACTTATTTTTGCACTACCATGTAGCATCTCTTTATTCATCACAAACACAATAGACGGTAATAATGTTGACATTCCTGTAAAGTTGATTCGTTTCTTGTTACTTAGTGTCAATATTGGATGGATTCTAATTTTTCTACAATCTTCATTGAATATCATATTGTATTCTGTACGTATTAAAAGATTTCGTCAAGTTTTACTGGGTGGGCTTAAATGCTGTCGCATAAACATAACAGGTGTCAGTGAAATACCAACGCCGAATTCAGTGACCAACTCTGTTCAGAAAAAAACGTAGATTTACTATACTCTTTTACTATGCTGTTAACCACTGACTACATTTCGTGTATTTTCATTTTTGTTTCATTACTGTCATCTGTTTGAAATCGATATTTAGCTCGCTTATTGATTTTGATGATATATATATTCAAATTGAAACACTCTTATGATAAATTGATATCCAGCTGATATCGGAAGAAAACATCACGAAGAGTACGTTCAGATTAAGTATGAACCAACCATCTTTGGAATTGCATTTAGTTGAGATTAGGTGTTTCTGAGCCAGTATCACAGTGGGTCATATGTGGCTTTGAAAACTTAGTTTTTAAGTCTCTGACTTCAACCCTAAGTGAAGTAAGTGTGAATCCCCAAGGGAACATCGGTTTCCCCATCGCTGCAGACGCTTCTTGGTAATGAGTGCCAATAAACAAGAAACCTAGGTTAAGCGCTTTCTACTGATCGATTTTTAGTATGTAACATCAAATTACAGTCCACCGTAATGTAACGTCACTTGGGATAGTGATAATATAGCGAAATTGATCATTGAACTTCGATTAGCGCTGAAGAGTAAGAGTTAAACAACTAAATTGGTTCCATACTGGTAATCAGTGCGTATTTCAGATATAACTGTTTATTTGTTTGTTTTTTAATTTCCACTTCGAAACGAATGTTTTCAAGACAAACGCTATCAAAGAACACTTCATGAACAGTGTGTACAAACTAAAAGCCAATTTTGCTAGACTATGAGCATTATTCTCTTCATTTTGACTTCTGTCGAGTACAGTGTCTCTTTTCCTCCGATAGCTGCTGCCTTGACGTAGTGGTCGAACTGTATGCTACAACGGGCTACACCACCTGAAATACATGTTTCCTCGAGGTTCCACGACGGTCTCTTGGGAAGTGGTAAGATGGAAAGCACTTGCCGTAGTAGTGTAAGTTGCTACACTATGATACGGTTTCGAGGACGGTGTCATGCTGTTGGCTGGATGGGGTGTGACCGTAGGAAGGTGTTTCCCCCGGCAACGGCTAGCAGCGCCACGCTTATGCTGCCTTCCCCACTAGGAGAACGGGGGGTTAGAAAAAGTTGGCCTGTCTGTCTGTCTGTCAGTCAATGTTGATCTTTTATTTTTGTTTTCCTCATCAAGTGCTATCAAGTTTGAAGTAAAATACTTGCAGTTTGATTTTGTTGAGCTGTGCGACATTTATGTTCACTTCAAAACTGAAACCATAATAGATGCATTACGATACCTCAAAGAATGTGATTGTGAAGTAGGAAATATATGTAACACATTTACTTACTTGAAAAAGTTAACTTTTCGTATCCGTGCTCTCCAGATTCACTTAAGAATGCATGTGGTAAAGGTGTTTCACTGTATTAGTTGAATTGAGGCAATCGGTAGAAATCCCTGCTCTACTTAAGCCTCATGCTTGTTGGCACTCGACACCAACCTGAGATTTAAACCTGCATTACCAAGTACTACAGTCAAAGACGTTGCCACCAAGTTAACCCGGTTGTGACTGACTTCCTGTAGAACGAATGAGTACATTGATTTGTTACTAGAGGTTAACCAACTTAATATTGTCTAGTCCTAAGTGTTGATCGTTTTACTATATTGAACTATTTCATCTAATCTATTTCCTAACTCATTACAATTTTTAAAACTATCTGAATAGCCTCTTTCACATTCTTGAACGGGACTAATGACCTCAGTAGGTGAATCTTCCTAAACAGTTATTGTAAAGTGAATCAAACTTCTTACAGGTACTGTAACAATAATTTACTTGGTTGTAGCTAGAAGAAAGATCCGGGACATGTGTTTCGTCCTATTTTGGAACTCGTCAACCGGATATATCTGCACCTCAATGAGTGGTGTTGTTCCGACTGAGACTCGAAACTCATGCCCATCAATTCAAATTCCAAGGCATTATCTACTAGGCCATTTAGGTCGGACAATTCTATCCATTAATACAAAGGAGAATTACAAGTGTATCAATAAATTGTAACGATAGTTAGATAATTTGGCTTCGTTCTATTTAATCCAGGCTGGTATTGATATCACCAAGTTAACTTAAGGTTGAATAACAGCTTCAGTTTGATTATACTACAATCTAATGTAGAATACCTGAATAGAATGATTTCAGTTGTGAAGTATTTATTATTTAATTGAAAGCAATGAAAACAGTGATTTTGGGCGAGAACTATTATTTTTTCAATGGAATGTAATTGCTGTTTGATATAGGAGTAAACGTTGGGCACTGTAGTAGATTTTAGTTTCATTTCTGATAATTTATTAGATGTGTAAATGAACTCAAACAATTCTATGATCGACAAAGAATGAAGATGATGTTTCTTTTCAGTTTACCAGAAAAGGATTACTCCTGTTAGATATATATGTCCACAGTCTGTATATATATATTTCCATTCAGAGAGATTTTAAAATCATGCATTTTTGGAGTATGCATTATGATTGAAATATGAATGTGTATCCCTTTCAGATTAGTTAGCTTTGACCAGCTTAGCCAATCAAGTAGGATTGCTGGAAACAGTCTTCTTAGACAACTGATTCCTGTCAGTTCTAGCCATCATCTTACAAAATAATTTTGATTTTGGTTGGGGTTTTGTGGAGATCGATTGCTGAAAGGTAGTATTCGTGAAGGAGTGACATCAGTTAAAGACATGGGAACACTGGACAGCTGTTCTGTTCTAGTATGGAATCACTTGGCTGAACATTACAACGAGTCTGCAGTTGATAGGATTCAGGATCATCAGGTATAGTGTACAGCATGTTGTCATTCAGTCGTTAGGTTAGAATCCAATGATCCACATTTTGCTGCTTCTGTCAACTCACTATGTAGCGTGACCATTATCAAAGGCATCGTTTATTATTTATCCTTATAGTCGACTCGGCTGACTTCACTCTCTCATCAGAACTTCAGAAAATCCATCTCTGAGCAAGTAATGTGATAAAATAAACAATCTGAAGATAACGGTTGGTGCAAATATTCAAGCTTTAGATGTCAAGGAGTGAATGTATCTGAGCCACTGTGCCTGATTTTCAGCCATGTCGCAAAGAGTCATCAACCACAGATGCTTATCGTCTTAGGGACTCAAGACAGGTAGTCTACATCTCCCTACACTGCTCAGTCGGGGACTTTATTGACTGGTACCACTTGTTGGTTTGGCCACTCTGAACCCTCTTCTAACGTAATCGGGCTTTCTCTAACATAGCTCGTAGAGGTAGGCGGTGGCTCGAGGGGCGTAGCACATGTCCGAGTCATCTCAGTCGGTGAAGGTTCAAACCATCTTTCATAAACTTGCTTTTCTTGTCTAGTACCCTTTTCCTGCCCCCAACATTTTTTCAAGCGGTGATTCCATCAGACGCAAACAGTGAGACAAAGGCACCTGTGGTCTAAACCCCGTAACCGCTTCATGTCTTCTATCTTTGACGGACGTATCTCACAGCTCTGTATCAGGACAAAACGGTCTGTTGTGCAGCATACAGGTTGATTAATATATAGTCAGGTATCTCACCAGTCGGTGCCTCTGATGACTTAAGTCGGCAAATGTTAAATGGGCCTGCAATATCCAAGCTGAGATTTCATCAGCAACTACCCCATTTGTGATAATGCAACTCACCAAATAGGTGGAGTTTTCGGCACGTTCCATCGCTTTATTCCCTATGGTTAAATTGAGAGTTGTTGCAGACCAGTCCTGAAGCATCATCTTATATTTGACAGGTGAGGGATATATGCCAAACATTCTCAAATTTCTGCCCATCGCGTTCACAAGACTTTGTATTTTGTCACATAATCAACTGAGTATTTATTGTTGCTCACTGACATATTATAGTGAAACAGTGAAGACATAAAACGCTGCATAGCCATTTGGTTATATATTACTGCTGCTTAGCAGTGCTCAACATCCATTCATGTATAGCAGATCTGTGAGTCAACGGGTATCAGTGAACATGTCGATGTTTTGTGCTATAGACGAAATTCAGTGGTAGTAAATTTCAGTTCAGTCAATTGAGAGTCTAGCTTAAATGTTGTACAACGTCAGCGGTATCCAGTTCCTCAGGATCTGATATCGTGCAGTGTCAGAAGTAGGATCTGACAAAAAACAGTTCAGCAGATACATATGAGTTAACAGAGAGTTGGTAACTATGTTTATCTGACTCAAATGACAACTGAATGAACTTGCGTCTATTTGAAGACACTTGAAATGGGAATATAAGTGAAATAAAACACAAATAATTAACAATTTAAAAACAGAAAATGGGTGTAACGTATACATTTTTATAAAAGACTAAAATGAAATGAAGGTCATCACAGCTTGCCGAGTTTCATCACTGTGACTACAACCTACATTTGTGGCACATAATCTTATCTGATCCAATATTCCTGTTAATAATGTGAAGTCAACTCATAACTAACAAATAATTTGGGCGTCATCAACAATGACCAATAACCTAAATGATTTATCAAAACATACGCACAACCATGTTTACTTCTGTTATTCATTACATAAAAACTGCATATATTTCATATCTTCAATGCTTTTCCATTACAATACAATTGTGCATAAAAATGTTTATAAGCAGAATATAATGTATGAATTCTCATAGATAAGTGTTCATCATGAATGTTAAGCTAAATTGGACAGAATTCTATTCTCCATGGGATACTTTGATCGACTGCATACTGTTAGATCTAGGATATCCAAATGCCAGTAAACTGTTATGTGATGCCTCCACCGCCATTGGATGTTTGTTAGGTTATGTGTTCCCGTTTGTTGGAGCATTGAATGTAATCACCAATTCCATTGTTGCCATCATATTTCTCTACTCATTACATCAGCATAACAGACAATTCATATTCCTTGGAGTACTCGCCTTGTCAGATATTGGGATCACAGTTACTGTTGGTTGGCTATGGTTGTTTCCAACCTATGGTCTACCATATGCATCTTCAGGAACTATATATTATTTCATTTTGACAAGGTCAAGTATAAGTTGTAAA